TTGTGATCAGTTCAAATTCTGTGGATTAGAGAAATACGAACCAGCATGTCACAGCAGAGAACAAAAAGATCGATGACAAGCACTCACTTCAGACACAGCTGGATGACTGAGACTATGACATCAAAGATGAAAATAGATGCTTGGCTGTCGTTGGTATTAAAATAGGGATTATCAGCAGGTTTGCCTCTTTGCAAAGGACTGTGTGTGGATCTCAGTTACATTATCTAGCAAAATGCTTTCTAAATTTTAATGTTCCTGATTCTTTTTGACTTTGTCCATGCTGGACATTAAAATATATATTTCTAAAGGCTGTTCTTCATTTATCCCAGACCAGTTCATTTTTGCAGTATAGCTACAAGTAAAAATCTTAACTGTGTTATGGCAGAAGAAGAGCCAGGACAAGCCTCGGCACTGACGCTCAAAGAGGCACAAACTTCAAGATGAGCTTATCACCACATTAGCTGGGACACCTTACTGAAAGCATTAGGGAGATCAAACAATGTTTGTTTCCTTGCACTCAGGCACAGGCCCATCCCCAACAGAAGATACTGAGGCATTCCTTCTTATCTTCTGGGTTTCTACCAGAAGACCAGTTCTAAGGAGGAGAAGATGGCATCTGGGGGCTCCAGTTGCTAGAACACATGGAAGGGCAGTAGGTGCTGGAGAGAAACAGGTGCAACCCTATAGGAAGTTGTCACTATGAGGCTGTGGTATTTAAAACCCAATAAAACTCAGCTCCAGACTTCTTCAAGTTGATGCCCGCTAACTTCAAGCAATTAAATCAAAAAAGATTCTTGTTTTTTCATACTTGGTTCCACTCTGGATTTCTTTTTTTTTTTAATCTGTGGTTATTATGACCTTGCAAAATCTCCCACACTGGAGCTGATTGCTCCTATCTCAGGCCAGGAAGACCAGGGCACATGTGGGATCCAGCAGCCAGCAGAACGAGCAGACTCCACAGGCCAGCCCTACGGGTCAGCTCCAGAGAGCAGGGGCAGTGCTACCAGCAGACAGCAATGCCAACTCCAAAATTCTGCTGCTACAGACACAGCCCTGCTGTGTTCTGCTGCCCTACTGATACACTATTACAGCCTGCAGTAGAATAGCTACTGAACTGGCTCAAATACATGTACAAATATTATTCTATAATTCTATGATTTTTTTCCCTGGGAAAGGGGCAAGAATTGTAGGCAGTCTAAATATTTATCATTCTTCAGAGTGGAAAAGCTAAATTGAAGGCCTGAAATTAGTTCCAAACATTAACAAAATACAAGAGATGTATTCGGTGTAGGAGAGATGTTAATGACTAAATAAATTACTTTTTGCAATGCGTCCTGCAGCAGAATTAACTTCATCTCACCCACGGGAAGCGGGCAGCCAGGCCAGCCAGCCAGGGATCAGGGATCTGGAGTCCTCTGCTTTTCTTCTTCTACTGTTTGTTTTATCCATTCCAAAATTGAGATAGTTATCTGAATATTTACAAATATTTGTCATAATCACCTCCTTTGGCTGGCACTCACAATAAATTATTCCATAATGAGTTAGAATGGAAGTGCTGACAAAGGAAGGATGACAAACTGAGAAAAGGCATTCCAACCTGGGCTGCCAGGGCAAAGCTGCATTTTGGTTATTAACCCATCTTGTCCCAAACCTCATTGCTAGATGAGTTGTGTTACAACAGTGCAAACAAACAGCATAAAATTCATCAAGGGAGTGCATTGCTAGATAAGTGTCCTTGCCTAGGTTATCATGCAACAAAAATTAAACAGTAAACACAGCTGTGTCATGGAGAAAAAAAATCATCAGATGAGGCTTCACTTGTTAATTATTTTGTGGTCCAGAGTGTTCCAGGGGGACCTTAATCTTTAATGCAAAAAGGAAGCAAACTCACATCATGAACCAGCAAATAAAGAATAAACCAATTTTAGGCTCTTTTATCCCTGCCTTGAACACTTTAATTCAACTGACATCTACCAGAAGAGAAAATCTGGAATAGCAGGGGGCATTGTAAGCCATACAAGTTCATAGAGCTGTAAGCCTGCCCTCCATTAACACTGAAGGCACAAGTCTTAATTGTGATGGGGGAAAAACAGGGAAAATATTGTCAAGAAAAAGGAAATAAAGCCGTGTGAAAGGGGCACTTGGACTTAAGAAAACAGCACCGAGAAAGCCTTCATCCAAAACAGTAAAACAGCTCTCCAAGCCAAGAAAGCAGAAGGACCTCTAATAAACTGTTCAGGAAGGGGCACCCTGGAAATACTTCAAACCCAAGGAAATAATTCAGATAAATTCAGACTGCACTTTGGCACAGTTCAGAAGGGCTCACAAAGGGGGAACAAGGAGTCCCTGCGCAGAACAGACCGTTGGCAGTCAGCAAGAGAATTCTCCAAAGGAGACCAGTAACACTTAAAAACATACCAGTTCAAAGACAAAATGCTAATTTCAGCAAGTCTAAGTTGTCCCACTGCTCCTGAGAGTGCAAGGAAACAAACGTTGTTTGATCTCCCTAATGCTTTCAGTAAGGTGTCCCAGCTAATGTGATGATAAGCTCATCTCCTGCTTGAAGTTTGTGCCTCTTGTGAGCGTCAGTGCCGAGGCTTGTCCTGGCTCTTCTTCTGCCATAACATAGTGTTTTACTCATAGCTATATTGCAAAAATGAACTGGTCTGGGATAAATGAAGAACAGCCTTTAGAAATATATATTTTAATGTCCAGCATGGACAAAGTTAAAAAGAATCAGGAACACTAAAATTTAGAAAGCATTTTGCCATTTTGCTAGATAATGTAACTGAGAATAAGCCAGTAATTCACTTCTTGTTCAACAACAAAACAAGCCAACCAAACAAAAAATACAGGCTTGGCCATCTGTGGAGAAAATCCTTTGTAAGATGACAATTTTAATGTTTTGGGTTTTTTTTTTTTTTGTGGCAGCACACATGGAAATAGCAGAACTGCCTTCATGGTGATGTGTTCTGCCATCAGTTAAGGGAACTTGCAGCCTCTGCACCCCAGCAGTCCATGTGATTATAATTCTATATATACATTTTTAAACAAATCACATTTTTCCAATCCAAAGGCTGCCTGGAATGGGATGCCTTCAAGGAAACAATGTATGAGTCACCCTCAAGAGACGTGCAGTTGAGGCACCTCCTTTGGAACAAAGTCGTGTACATTCAGCTAAAATATCCAATTATAAACACTATTATGTTACTTGCATAATTGCCCAATGGCCTTGTAAGCAATTTATTTCTTTAATGACAATAAGAATTAGTGTTGACTTGTTGTTAAAAGTTAGAATAACATTACATGAAGATTAAAATGCCATTTCAATGATAGTTTGCTCTGGATTATGTTAAGAAAAGAAGCATGAGCCTGTGATCACTTAAAACTCGTAAAACTTTTATGCCTTATTAACACTTCATATTTGAATGTCTGAACGTAAGATATACTGTCTGAGGGTTGATTTTAGTGGGAACTTCAAAGTGGATGGAGAGCTTACTGTGGATTTTGGTGGGTAAGACAGCAACACTCACAAACCCCTATGAATTGTTTTGTTCTGTGTCTGTATTATGAAATGCTATTTCACAAATTTCCATTCATACATAGGCTTAATGCTGGCTGTATTTCTCAGCCCCCTGGTGCTAGTTTCTATTTCTCCCACCCTGTGAGATAATGCAAGGAGAGAACGGTTTGAGAAGAGGTAAGTATATGCCAGAGCTTGCCTGTTTCAGGTGTGGAATGGAGGATCTCACAGAGCCTCGGGTTGACTGCCAGAGGGGCAGGAAGCCTTGGTGCTTTGAGAGCTAATGGGAGCAACAAGCTTTGGGGAGTCATCTTGGAATGACACTGATATGTTTGTCATTTTCATTTGGCTAAATATTTACTTTATGGCTAGCGAGAAGCTGGTTTTGAAAAAAAACAAAACACTGATTAATGATGATTAAAGGAAGCTGCTCTGCAGTTGACTGTAACTGGCCCTTTTGGGTTTCAACACATTTAAGCGTATCTGAAGAGTGTGTTGCTGTCAAGACAAACACAGTTTAAAAAAATAAAGCAAACACTTTATTGGCTAATACACACACACAGTAGCCAGGATCTAACAAATTACCAGAGTTCATGTGCTTACATCCCTCAAAAGGCACTGAAGAGTCTGTGCAACACCAGGCAGGAGGGCTGAGCTGGCTTCTGCTGCTTTCTGTGCAGATTGCAGAGATCATGGAGTTGTTGTCTTTTACTGTGCCTTTCAGTGACAGCCGTAACTCCCTGTTCTAATCTTTAATATTTTATGCCTTTTTTTCCTCTCGTCCCCTCTTGGAGCTTTTAACTATCTCCATTCAACCATCCCACCTCTGCAACACCTCAGTAATTTTACCTTCCCTTACTTTGCCTGGAGTTTCTCAGCTTTTGGCCACAACATTGCGATCCTCTCAGAAGTGTGAGCCAAGGCAGTGCAGCAAGGCTGTATCAGAGTTAGACCTTGGCACACAGACAGCAAAATCGATGCTGTCTGAAGAGGTGGCAGAGGAGGTGACAGAAAATGGGCTGCAGGACGCATGAGATGCGCTGATCTATCTGGACATAAGCTTGGATAATGTTAAGTGAGCACTGTTGCAAGGATGCTGGGAACAGTACTGCTGCTTTCAACGGTGTGTGTTATTGCACTTTAAAAAATAATCCAAATTAATAAAGAACTTACGAATACCTGAAGGTCAGATGCACTTCATTGTCTTACTTTGTCAGTCACAGCAATACATGGGTATCTCCCCAGTAGCAGACACACAGCTGCATAGATATAATGGGACAGTCCCTGGTTTCCAGCAGGCAGCAGGGGAGCTGTGAGAGTTTCCAACCCACCTTTATCTGAAATACTTCTTGCCACACCACTCCTGCCCACAGACTATATGATTGTTAGATCCAAGGCCAAATTCATGTTGTGAAGAGCTGCAAGTCCACTGATATCAGCAGAGATGTAACCACTCAGTAGAACAGCAAGTCCATCTCGGGGTGAAATTTCAGAGGAACAATTGTACTCAATCCTTCTGACATTCTCCTGAAGTTTTCTTAAGCTGGGTGGATTTTCCCTGTCCTGTGCAGCCCTGGCTCATGCTGCCAAGTGGCTGTGGTACTGCAGTGCCATGCAAGGGATGGTATCAGCTCTCTACAATGTGAAGCAGTGAGCCTACTACATCATGGAAATGAAACTGTAAAAGATGAAGTGAGGCTTTGGAACTAAAGGCCTGAGAAATATGATGTCTCACAATAAGGGAACTGTGAAACGTAACAGGGAGGCTCAGGCCCTGCATGGCCAGCAAGAGTCATGGTTGTGGTGTTCAAGGGGACTGCTCTAACTAGCCTTAATCCTGCAGGATGGATTTCCTGTGGCTTGGTCTTGCAAAGTTTCTAAAATCATTGGTCTCATTGACATAGATCTTGAGTTACAGGGATCCACGTGAAGTGGAGAGCCAGCCCTGCAGAAGGTCTAGCTTAAGAACAGACAGTGAAGATCGCAAGGGCTTATTTTTATATGTTCTGCTAAGAAAGGAAACTGTAAATGGAAATCTCCATTCCCATAGGTCTTGAAGGAGGGCAAACAGCATCTGTACCAGCTGCTGTGCCTGAAGGACAGTGGGGCAAGTTGTCTGAGTTTTGGCACAAGGAATTACTTCTGATGGGTTTTGTCTGCTGTAGATAAGGTTGTACTGGCATTTGTATAAGTAAGAAATTCTGATAGCATAAGAATATTCAGTCTTAATCTTCCTGTAAGTTATATGATGGAGTACTTACAGATTACTAAGGTGGACTGAGGCTGACATGAGCAGAGCAGAAGATAAGTGATTGGGGGCTGCTGGTGATCTTTCCACAGCCACCTCAGCATTTAGACTGATCTGCGACCTGAGCAGCGTGAGCGATGACTGGTTTGGGATGCTCACAGTGGGTAACTGATGAAAATGAAGAGATATAATAAAACTCTTAGCGCTGGGATGCAACAGTTTGATGAAAGGTAAATGTCTGAGTCATGGAGAGAAAATGAGTTTCTTGCAGGCTGAATTCTGTATGTCTCTAGCTTAGCCTGGGGCTGTGGGAAGGGCAGACAATGAACACACAGTTGGTTCCCACACAGGGTCAGTCAGGCTCACAGTGAGAGATAATGGACAAAGGCAACAGGCTCAGGGACCTTACATGCAGTCTCCAAAGAGAAACAACCTTCAGTCTGAGACCTTGATGATCAAAAGGAGTCAAAACACTTATAAAACCTTTGCGAAGAGGCGGAAGAGGAAGATCGCTTATCGAGGGTTCCCTGTGGGGACAAACTGACAGAGGCAGGAGGGAGGTTGGAAAGGAATTAAAATAAATCCAGTGCTCCCAGAATGGCAAGCCTAACTACTGTATGTACGGACATTTTCAGTGTTTTAGAGATACGGTTTATCTGAAGGCTTTCATATGCAAGTAAAAGTTAACATTTAAATTGGCCATTCATTAGCACTGCCATTGACATTGGGGAAAACAGAAATAGTTATGTGTGAAAGACTAGGGAAGTCATAATTAATAGTCTGGAAAGTGGAGACAGGGCCCTGGCTGAAAGCAGAAGAATCATATTTCAGCACACACACACAAAAAGAAAAAGACAGCTAGTGGCTTTGAGTGTTGGAAGAAACCTACTGAGACTGGGGAGAGGCATTCTTCAGGTATGTTAAGAAGCCACTTTTTCTTTCAAAATGAATTTGGAGTTTTTTCTTTCCTTTCTACTCTTCTTCCTGCTCCATATCAGTGACTTTACCTTTCTCTGACTCCACCATTATGACACATTTAATCCTCCCAAGGGTAGTGTTTTATGCAGGGAGATGTTTAATAGTTGTATGCACTGGTAGTTCTTGTATTCCAGTGAGCTGGGAGATGTCCTGTAAAGGAATTCACGTTTCCTAAAATTGTGATTTAATTTAATTGTTGCTGGAGTTAAGTTGTTTGAAGAAGTATTTTGTAAGATCCTTTTGAAGCATTATTTTTTGACAGAGGTACATCATTACTGTGGGAGTGGTGCTCTCTTTCAGCTGTGTGGCTCCTACCTTTCAGTACACTCCAAGCTGCCAAGTGCTGACAGCACGTTTCTGGCGTGCCAACCCTGACACCATCGTAGATGGCTTCTTTTAGCAGCGGCCATCTGCTGCCAAATTACTTTGCCTGTGCTTTTCTGATTTCTAGGCAGCTTGAAATCCAGGACAAGCATGCTCAAGAAGTTTGGCAGAGGGCATGTCAGGCTTGCCAGTTCGCAGACTGTACAACACCTCAGCACATGCAACACACACTACTCCTCCTCTCTGGCCTTCCAGCCATAGGCACTGCTTCTTTACTGCCAGGACCCAAAGCCTTATTTTGCACTTTGGGTCCCTGACAGTACCTTTGCCCATTGCTGAGCTTGAGTCACGGGGCTTCACCCTCTGAATCCCCAGCAGTGCCCACTCCAGGCTGCCCCAGCACTATCATTCTTTTCATCACAGATGCCACTTGCAAAGATTCCTTCATTTTCTTCTGCCCTCATCTCTCTTTATTATTTCAGTTAATTTCCTTCTTATGGAAAAATTTCCTGACTTTGTGTATTGTGGATTTTCTAAAGAATTTGTAAGTTTCAGAACACCTACTCATCTGCACTACTTTGTTATTGTTTCTATTTTTAAGCTAGAAGGAAAGGGAGACTCTGGAGACTAACGACCTTATTTTATTAAATTAAAGCCTCTTTTGGGGATTTTCTGGTTAGTCTGGGTTTGTGTAATGTTGAGCTGAAAGCTTATATTGTTTGGTTTCCTGGCATAATCTAGCCCAACATGTTCACTTCTTTCCCAGGAAATCCTTCCAGAAACATACTCAGCAGCAACAGCCAAATGCTTCCTCTCCATCTCAGGCACAGACTGAACCTGCACATATCACAGGTCAGTACACGTTTGCCCTGCAAGGTCATCCTCTGTTCTTCTCCATGAACAAGGGTGGAGCAGCGTGAAGAAGAGGACAATACATGGACACAGCATGTGCCCTGCCCCTTGTAGGTGCTGGGACAAGGTGCCAAAGTGAGGCTGTGGTCTAGCACCAATGAATGGCTTTAAAGGAAAGCGAATATCCTCCCATTCAACACTTTGTTTTGAGAAGGCATCTTGCAATCTTGGCTACTCCAGTTCCATTTGAACAAATTGCAGAAACTCACTCCCAACCAAAGGAGTTGTATGTGGGACTTTAGAAAACATTTTAACTCTTAATTCTTATTTTCAAGCATTATAACTATATATTTGCATTTGCAAATATGAAGTGAAAGTGTAGCAAGGATACCATTTTCTTTAATGTAAACATGCAGTTGTTTTATTGTGGAGAAAATTAAACACTTCATATTGTGCTGGTACACATATGTACAGGCATTGCCTAGATTTTCTTTTCAATTTATACTGTCAATTTATACTGCATAACAAATTGCTAATATCTCATCTGTTTTAACAGGCCTATGCTTCAGAGTGCCACGGTGACGTATCCTTCTACAATTAGTGCTTGCTTTTATCTTTCAAGTGGTATTTAATGAGTTTATTTCCTTTTCATCTAAGCATTTAAAATATCTGGCTGGGTCATTTTTATTTACAAATTGCAAACAAGGTTTGAATAATTTCCTCTAATTGTTTTTTTTTAAATCATGTTTTTCTTGAGATACAATTCAAGATAGCCAGAACAATGACATTCTCATGTTGTTTTCTGCATATTTCTACACCTCCTGGACAGACAAATCTGTGTTCAGCCTCATGCCTCCAGTAGATGTCATCATGACAATGGAAAATATTGCTGGAGATGCTCGTGATGAGATGTCCTGTGCCAGGGGAGGAGAAGAGCTATGCTTCAGTAGACTTTGTTTCTATTGAGACTATAGTTCACATTTAGAGAGTATTTAACTTTTATAATGCTTTCAAAAGCGTGATGAATATCAAAACAGAGTCATCAGCCAGGTCACAGGGCTGTTTGTGGCAGTGGTGTTATACACTTGGTCACAAATACAGATGTATATGTGCATACATGCACAAACAATGTGCAGATTATCAACTGCTTGGGTTTTATTTTGTTTGTTTGTTTTTTGTTTTGTTTTTTTGTTTGTTTGTTTGTTTTTCCCAGCAGCTATATGGCTTCCTTCATTTGGCATCCCCTACTCAAAGCCATCACACTCTTACTCTTACATATATGTATTTCTTTTTTTTCCCCTACATCCGCCTTAGAAGTAATTTCTCCAAAGGAAAACCAAAATTCTCCTCCTTCATTTCTATACCAATGAATCTCTGCACCTGCCAGCCCCTGACCTGTTGGGCATCCTATCCATTCTAAGATTCACAGCGTTCTGAGTGAGTGATGAATTTTACCGTGGTTATTTAGCAGTGAGTCAATCTACAACCCTACAGTGTAACTGGCTATAATTTTAGTCTGTCTAACAGAGAGCAAGTCTCCAGAAAAGAAAGGGGCAGGTCAGTCACTGGCAGTGACATGCACAAGAGCTGCAAGACTGAAATACACACACATTGAGAAAGGAATTAGAAAAATGTATTGAAAATGTATTTAGCTATTGTCAAATGCTGGACTGATTTCCTCAGGCAATAGCATCTATGATCAGGATGTCTTGGCATAGAAAAAGGGCACCTTTTCCCCCCTTGGAAGCCCCAACAGTTTGATTGCATATGATACATGTCTAATGTGTATGGTCCCTTTTTAAATTCAGTGCTACAGTCATGTTCTTTGTGACAGAGTGATATTATGGTGAGATGCCTTCAGATAAAATAGGACACGAGCTGAGCCATGTGATTCGAAAAGGCTGCTGGTCTGAAATACAACTTTCTAAAAATCAACAGGGTGCAGCTATATCAAATACCAAGCCCATAATTTGAATGTTCCCTTTTCTCTAGATTATAGCCCTATGAATAATAAGTTTTTCTTCTTTAAAATGTCAGGCTTTGAGGAAGTACATAGCAAGAAAGCAGGGCATTAATGGCCTGATTAACTGAAGAGTCTGCTTCTTCTCCTCTGTGATCAGCATTATTAGTTCTGGGGAAAATGGTCGAATGATTAGACCAAATTTGTGACCTCCCACACTAAGAAGAAAGAACACCTCATTGGAAAGATCTTTTTATTGTTCACGTTCTTAAAAAAAAAAAAAAAGAAGTAGTGGAAATTTTCTCCTTGACTAAGTAGGAAGGCTCTCTGCTGGGAGGAAAATGAAGTATTTAGTCAAAATAAACAGCTGATGCTCTTGTCCAAGGAAGAACAGAAACCTGGTCGAACTGTTTGCGTAAGTGAAACCATCTCTTAAAATAGCAGAAAAGCCCCATGAGCATCTATAAAGATAAATGGAGAGAGAGGAATGCAGAAACTTGTTTAAGTTTGGGCACTGTCAAAGTAGTATGGAGCTGGCAAAAAAAAGCAGGTCCTTGTCCTCGTGAAACTTTAGATATTTTGTTACTAGAAATAATAAGAAAATAGTAAGAAAAAAACCAAACCAAAACAACAAAAAAAGCCTAAGCAAACACAGTAACATTGTAAGGACTGCGATGATGTAGGTATTAACTCAAAAAGCAGAAGTCAAAAAACATAACAGAAGTCATTACTTCATGACTAGTTTGCATTTTGCTTCAAGTATATGACTTCTTTGTTACATGTATACTCCTATTTAAGAATGCATACATTCCCATTAACAGTGATCCCAGTCTAAAAGCATTCCATAACACTGTAATTTAGCACTTGAAGTTTCACTTAAGCCTTAAAATATTCAGTCTGTAACCTGTTACTTTGAGAGGAGAGGATAAGTGCTGCTGATAACAGTCCAAAAGATCACAAAGAGCTATCGTTCAGCTCTCTGCACCTGCCTTAAAGCAGGATCAAATGCAGCTGAACTGTTCTTGAAAGCTGATGGTAATTCCATATTTTCTTCCCACAGTCTGCTCCAGCTGCAGTGTGTCTGCAGAGCGGGGGCAGGACTTCTCCACAGCTACCTTCTGCCTCCCTTGCTGCAGTTTAGCCCTGTGATATGTTACCCTATCTGCTCTATAATAAATACTACCCACTCTCAGGGTACCACACCACCCTTCTCATCGGTATGCTGAGGAGGTAGCAGCGAGCTTGGCCCTCACATACACGGAGCACCATCAGAGCAGCCCTGTTCCAGCGTGGTCCCAGGGGCAGGCAGGTGGTGGAACATGGCTGGGCTCACTCCCTAAGAGCAGCATGGGGCTTCTGACTCACATCTGACTGTCAGCATCTTCCGAGAAGAGCATACAGCTGACAGCCCTCAGGAACCCAGCTGTTCATCTTCCTATAGGCAGGCAGCAAGGCAATGCATGTGCACGTCTGCTGTACTGTCAACGAGCTCAGGCATGCATGGTTTGGGAGGGGAATTTTCTGCAAAAGTAACAGTTAACAAATATCTGGACAACCACAAAAGCACATGAATCCTCAAATTGCCTTGCATATTTTTTTCCTCTCCTCTTTCCTTCTCTATTTCCTTTCACAACACCTCTACCAGCCCTCCCTGCTCCTTATTTACACAGAGAGGAAAAGCCCCACGCAAGCACCACAAACAGTTGTAGTCAAGAAGGGGAAATCTAGCTCAGCTGTGATAATTAGAATAGCTGTGATACTTTAATTGAGCTGCTAATAGCAGTGCAGGGTTGTTGCATAAAAACCTGGTGTCTGGTAGCCTTTCCTTCAGCCCTGCTTATAGGTGGGGTATGTGTGTGGATGGGTGTCTGCTGCTTTCCTTTCAGCTTTCCCTCTAAATACAGCCCCTTCTGGTTCTGTTGCAATGCTGTGCAGTTGCATGTATGTTCTCTGAGAGCAACTCCATGTGTTTGTTTGGTTTTTTTTCTCTTCCTCTTCTTTATTTTGAGAGCTGGTTTCTACAAATCCAGTCTGCACGGGCCCTGGAGCAAGGTCTGTGCCAGTCCCCTCAGGCAATTAATCTTAGTAGTGATCTTAGTAGTTACAAACCTACTTACATGATTTCAGCCACTGCCTGGTGCTTGTGGCAAGCCTGATGCGATATGTTCTCAGAAAAGTGTGAGGAGGAAGTAATGGACTTCCTCACTCCTCTGCAGTAAGAATAGCTCATTCATTACTTATGTTCACTAGAGTTCGGTTCCTGTATTTTTGTTGAGCTTTGCCTTGCTGCAGTGGCAATCTTTCTGTTACTGAATCCTTGTAGTAGCTTCTTAAAGCTTACCAAAATGAGGGGGCATTGTGTATTATTTCATAGTGTTATAAACGTTATTCTTATTTGCACAACAGTGATATGGAATGTGTTTAGAGAACTGGCCTTCAAAAGCAGATTAAGCTTAACTTTACATTTCGTTTACCACTTTAAACTCTTTGGAAACTCTGAATAATGTTTGTGTAAAAATATTTCTCTGCTATATCAGCAAATTGAGGTGTAGTAGCGTAAACTGATTCTAGGAAAGCTAAAAAGGAAACCTCTGGAGAACTCCAGGTTGGCTGCAGGACTTCAGGTCAGTGAAAATCATAAGATAGAATTGTTTATTATTTTGAGTAAGTGAAACTTAGCATACTTAATAACGTAAAAGAATTTTTGAAGTTCTGTGCCAATGTATCACTTTCTTAATCTGAGGTACTAAAATCATAAAATCAGAACATCCTAAAAGTTGAAAGGGGTCCATAAGGATCATTGAGTCCATCTCCTGGCCCACCACAGAACCACCCGAAGACCAGACTGTATGGCTGAGAGCATTGAGAATGACTGTATTCAGCCAGTTGATCAGTGTAATGTTTATAGGGGCCTTCTTTCTTGAGCGTTTTTCTTTGAAAGGTTTTGTGATAATATGAAAAGTTGGAGACTGGGATCTTCAATGTTTGGATCAAACAGATGTTAATGATTTTTCACTTTCCTGGAAGATCTGGTGTAGAGCTTTCTGTCACAGAACTTTCTGTCAAAACATGGATTTGATGAAACTTAACTTCTTGTTGGAGCAGAGAAGTTTCATTTATGTTTTCAGGAAAAAGCTATCAAAATATTTTATTTGTGGTTAAAGCTAGAATATTAAGAAGAAAACTTGTAAGTCAAAGCTGAACATCTGACACTGTCAAAATAATCTGTCAGTCAGTTGTTTCCCAAAATAAAAATTGCAGAATTTGTGTTCTATAGAAAGTGTTGTTGGTTTTTTGTTTCCTTCTGAAAGGGGATTTCAGAATATCTGTTTCTTCTTCCTAGGCCTGCAATATTACTTATATATATAAAATATATATATAATTTTTTTGCAGGCTTTTAACATGTAGTGGTTACTGGAACTGTTTTCAAGGAGAACATCCTACCAGGAGCCTCCAGAGTGCTATGTGTTTGTTACCAAGCTCTTGTAGCTGTATTGATTTGAAGGATGCCTTGGTGCTTGCTCATGGTCCCAATTAGAGACTCCTTAGCAGAGCAAGTTCTGGATGTCATGGACAATGTTAACTGATTTTCTAATCAAGATTAATATGCTCTTCATTCTGAAGTGAGCATTGTTCCACCTCAACTGAAATTGGACTGCTCTGCAAAGGTGCTAACAGAGAGCAGCCACAGCAAAGCTAGGACAGAAGGCTGCTCCTGCAGTTCTGTCTCTGTCCCTAAGCAGTGCCCTTCTCAATGTCTTACAGCTATGGATTTGGTATCAGCTCAGATGACCGGAAATATCTGCTGTTTTTCCCCCAATGTCCAGATGTGCTGTTTTCTTTAAACACTGAATTGTGCTTTAAAAACACGGTCATATGATGGAGATTACAGTTGGTAAGTATTCACTTATCAAGGATTTCTATTTTTGAAGAGGCATACTACTCCATTATAGCTTCCAATCTAAATATAAGAACTTACAATGAAAAGCATGTACCAAAAATAGCAAAGATGGGCTGAACCTTTAGGTTCCAAACTATTTTCCTGAGCAGTGAGAATATTTTATGAAATCTAAAGGAAACTGCTTCCTGGAAAAAATCTCTGAAACAACACTGAGCTGCCCTGACAGCTGGGGAAGTGGAACAAAAGTTTGGATGCTTTGTAGCCCGCCCATTAGAGGACAACTTGAAATAGATTTTTAATGGGGGGGAAAAAGCAAAACTGCCACAAGCATAAGGCTAAAAGGGGGTAAAATGGCACGTGTGTCTGTGCACAGAATTATCAACAGTTACTGAAGGGAAGATGTACTGCAGTTTGGAGCATTTAAAGTATTTAAGGCTTATGTCATAAGAATGCCTGAAGCACTACAGTAATTAAGTGGAAGTATTAAAATCTGCTGAATGAATACCAGCTGAACCGTTTTATTTAGATAACATGACTTGAAGTTGCAGAACTGTCAGTGTATCTCATGCTGTATGTGAATTGTGTTTGCCTTTTGTGCGTGATTCATTACTTTTACTAACTGTTAGAGCTGTAACGCATCAGTATCATTAATAACTAATGACAGCATGATCTCACTGCATCTCCTGCAACTAACAGGGTCACTTGGTGTGTCAGCTGTGTCACAGACCTCATCGGCACTGGGTGCTCCCAGCAGTACTCATTCTCCTTCCTGATGCTGTATGCGTGCCAGCTCTGAGGATACAGGCTAACAAACTGGGTTTTAAGCTCCTTTTGCATTGCAGCATCGCGTGCCGCTCCCAGATCTGCAGGACTGAGCATGAAACCAGGTCTGGAAACAGAATCCTGTTTTTAAAACAGGCTTTTTTTCACTTGGTTATCTTCATGTTGAGGTGAACTGGTTTAGCTGTTCAGGTAATTGTTTGGTCACAGAAACCATGAGGGTCTTAAGAATAGAAGGAAAGTGTTCCGATGGGAGCTGATGACACCTGCACTGTTGTTGGTAGAAAGGTGTGGAAAAGCACTGTTATTTGATGATAAACAGAAGGGAAAAGATTCAGATGTTCTAAGGTTAAAAAAAAAAAAAAAAAAAAAGCCGGCATACTTATATTATATTCCTCAGGAATAGAATGATATCTATTATATTCCTGAGATTGTCATTTAATTGTCTCTTCATCATGCTGTAGTACAGTGACAAAGCTCCCTCACACCTTTCCATCTTTCTTTTCAGCCCTTTCTATCCACTGTTGTAGAAACTGATGCCGGAATGAATTTACACCATGAGAACAGTAGGAGTAATACAAAGACAAAGGAGTTCAGAAAGGCATTTATGTTCTGAAAGCAGTCTTTTGTCTTTGTGTTATAGAAGAGCCTTGAAAATAACTGATATATTTCATTGTCAATGCATTAAAATGATACAGAAGACACACAGAGGATACCCTGTGTCACTGCGTGCTGTGTGGGCTGTCAGTGTGCAGCGTTTGACACTGACCAGCCGCTGCAGTCGCACCACACTGCAATTAGATTACTGACTAATTTAATCTTTATTAATTCTGGAGCTTATCACAAGCATGTGCTTCTGAGGATTATTGGAACTTAATCCTCAAAGCGTGTGCCTGCAAAGAAACTCTGTAACATGCTAAATAAATAAATATATAACTGTGCTATAATTGAAACAAAAAGTAGAGAATTATACTGCATTCAGCTTTATTTTAAGTTAATTCTTCGGAGCGGTCCGAGGCTTAAAACAGTAAAAAGCGGCCGAAAATGGAGAAAAGGGATAAGCGTTCGTAGCCGAGAAAGGCCGCGGGGTGGCGAGGCGCGAGGACGCCACAGCCCCGAGAGCGCGGAGCCCCGCGCACAGGGACACGCCCGGCGGCAGCGGAGCGGCGCTCGGCACGACGTGCTGCCCCGGGGCTGCCCGCGGCTCCGCGGCCGGTGCCGGCACTGTGCGCAGCCGGACCCGCGGCTCGGGGTTCCGGCGTCTCGGTGGCATTCTTCTCCCGAACGCCGCTTCCTCGGTGGGGTGGGCGGCTGCCCGCCGCCTGAGTCGCTCCGGCTCAGCGGCGCAGAAAACGCGCGCTCGGCCTCCCGCCGCCCCGCGCTTTCGAGAGGCCGCGGCGCCGCCCGCCCCCCCGGGCGCCCTCGCAGCCCCGCGGGCCGCCCGCCCCGCCCTCCTCGCGGGGCGGTGCCGCCCATTGGGAGAGAGGAGGGCGCGGGCGCCCGTCCGCTCCGCTCTGCCTCCCCGTTGGCTGGCGTCACCGCGCTCCGCCCGCCCATTGGCTGCCGTCGCCGCCAGGCAGCGGCCGCTCGGGCGGCGCCCGCCCGCCGGCACCCGCCCTCAGCGCCGTCGCTCCCCGCGGGCGAGGGAGTCCGTGAGCGGCGGCGGAGGCGCCGCGGGGCGGGCGGGGTGAGCGCGAGTAGCCGCCCGCTGCCGCCGGGCCAACTTTTGAACGCCGCGCGGAGCGCCGGCAGCCCCAGGCGCCGCGTGGGACGGCGGCGGCCGTTGGGTAACTAACGGCGGCTGAGGCTGAGGGGAGCCCGGCTGTCCCGCGCGCCTTCTCCTCTTCCTTCTCCTTTTCGTTTTTCGTTAGCGGCCGGGCGGGGCGGGGCGGGGCGGGGCGGGGCGGGGCGGGGGGGCTCCGCTGGGCCGGCCGCGGGCACCGGGCGGGCTCTCCTCCCTGCGCCGCGAGGAGGCGGCGGGCGGGGAGACAAAGGGGCTGCCCCGCGCGGGGCACGGCTGCGGGCTGCGCCGCTGCTCGGGGAGAGCGGATCCGCGCGCTGCCGGCGCGTCGCTTCTCACGCGCCTCTTCTGTGTTACTGCTAAGGCACCTCTGTCGCGGCGTCGACTTCGGCGTGCCCGGCCGGGGATGTGAGAGGCGGCGCGACGGTCCTCCTCGCCGAGAGCCTGCGGTTGCGGTCGGTAAGTAGGAAGCGCCGGCTGCCTGCGGGACGGCCGCGCTCTTGCGGACTTCGCCGCTGAACTTGGCGCACGCTGAGTCGCGGCCGCTCGTCCGGCGCCGCGAGTGCTGGCGGCTGCGGGGAGGGCGCGGGCGGTGCCCGGGGCGTCTGGTCCCCGCTATCCCGAAAGGCGGCGATTGGGGTTTCTTCTAAAGCGACGAGACGCCGCTGGACGGTTTTACATGGCGAAGTATGGGGCAACGCCAGTGCCGGGCTTTCATTGCTTCTGAAAGACTTGTCTGCAGTGGTTGCCTCCAGCAATGCGTTTAGATGCTACAGAGCATCTTTTCAGAAGCTTGTGCTTCTCACAGAATGTCTTTCTCTCTGGTGGTGCCCTGCTTTTATTGTAGTCATCTTCCAACAAGTAATTTTCTGTGCGAAAAGCCAAACACGGTCAAGTTAACAAACAACCGTTTTTACTTTTTATCAGTAAGGTACTTCAGGTAATAGTAATGTGCTTCTGAGTTGAATCCATCTGGCTTTGTTCTAGGATGTATTTTCTGACTAAGGTGACGACGTGAAAATACTACTTTTGAGATGCAAAGCTCAGCTTCTCTTCTGTGATGATCTTTTTGATGAGCAGAAGGGTGCCACTTTTGAGGAACTGCAGTATTGCTTTGAGTGATCTATTAATTTTACTTCGTGACAGCGTTGAGCTGTCTTGAGGTATTTATTCAGCATACTTCTCACAGAGAAGAAGGCTTTCATGAGAACAATCGTGCCAAACTTCTGACTTATGAATGGGAGGGTCCTCTTTCACTCGAGTGAGTCCGTGGTAGACATGTTCACAGACATGGCCGGATAGTTAAGTCACTTGAATCCTAATTTGTAAAGACTTGTATTGCAAACAAGCGTGTGCGTAACATATTGCCAGGCTAGGCCCTGTAAGTGCTATGTGTCATGTGTATTTTACTCAACACAATGGGGCTGGCACTGAGCTGTGAGCCTTCCTACTGACGCAGATGTTCTGGCTGTATCAGGCCTGATAGTAAGCCACAGAGTTGGTCTGTTTCTTAGTATATGCCAATGTGCTATTTTGAATGAAAAAAAACCAAAAAAACCCACAAATATCTTGAACTTTCCCCTTATGTTCATGTCAATAAACACTTTTTCATTAATGCTTACCTTAAGGTAAGTATTAGGTTTTCTCTAAGCTATGACTAACGTGTGCAAAATGAAAACGACCTCCCTCCTGGGAATTTACTTTGTTGCTAGTAGTTTTCAGATGTTGACTAATTTAATGAGAAGATAAATACACATTTTGTGACCCAACTTGACACTGTTGTTTGCTTCAGTTTGTGTAGAAGATGCACAGTCTGCAGGGTCTGCATGATTTGTAAGAGGAGAGTCACAGTTCCCAAGCTTTCGTTTGATGCTAATAGCAATTGGAGTGCTCTGTAAATTTGAGGCTTCCAAATGGAAGTTGAATGAAGCTTAAATGTGGATAATATTAAAATGCAGCAAGTCTTAAATGCTTACAGAGATCACCTGCGTGCTCTGCAAATGCACAAAGCCTCTATCAGGGACAGCTTAGACTTTAAATCCGTTAGCTGGATCACCAGGTTTCATTCCCAAGCCTTCATTTAGGCAAATGCCCTCTCAGCATGAACTGGCATGCCTCCCATTTAGCAAATGTGAGATTGAGTACAAAGCTTATACTTCAGTCTGCTGTGGGGTTCGTGCAGGTAGCTTTGTTAACACACGTGTAATCTCCACCTATGATATGTACAATAGTACAGGTATCAAGTAGTCAGTCTTCCAGAAGTAATAGTCATGAAGTTTAAGCAGGAGATCCTGTCCCACTGTACAGGGAATAGGAAGCCTGATGATGTGACCTTTATTGTGTGTATGCTGTCTTCTTTGAGGTTAAGAGATATCGAGTCCAAAACTCCTATGCTTAAAAGACTAAAACCAAACATACACACAAAAAAACAAACTGAAGGCCATGCAAATGTGTATTGGTCTTCTTACGTGTAATAGCTTGATTGTGAGAGTGGCTTGTATGTAACCTCCAAGACTTCTTGTGTGGTTTTATGAAACCAGGATGTGCTTAAAGCTTGCATTTTGAATGCAGTACTTCTCCTTGTATTGGTTTGGCTATGATAGGACATATATGGAGTTCTTAATAGTATACTGTAATCTCATAGTTTGCATGACAAGGTTATAGCTTTTGATTTGCTAATGCTGTTCTGTTTCATTATGGGAGTATCTAAAAGCCCCCCAGCATCCAAACCCTAAGTAGAACTGCAGGTATGCTTTTTTCTTTAAATCCATATAATTTTTTTCCCCCCAAAAAAAGAAAAAAAGACCTTTTGGACATTCACTGGCCTCAGTCACCAGCAATGAAACGTTGGGGTGCTAAATGCACATCTGAGAGCAGAGAACGTGTTAGAATTAAAGCACGGTTTTATCAGCATAAATTAATTAGGAACTTAAATTGGGTTACTGTATTTGAAATGCTTTGTGAGATAATCTTGGAAGGTAATAACAGAGTAGCGACAGGGTGGAGAAATCTGTGTCAGGTCAGTGTGGTTGAAGGGAAAGTGAGTACTCAGGTATGGAAAAATGATTTTATTGCGTGTCAGGGCTGCAGGGCCACATTGGAAGCTTCTAGGGTGCTGAACCTCTGTGCGTTATTAAAATGTGTTCTTAGCTCCTGCGCAGACCAAAATCTACCCTGTCTTTATAACATACAGGTTACGTTAAGTGGGCTCACGTGCTTTTAAGATGAAGTGTTTCTGAATGCTCTCATGTTTATCTTTAGAGGTAACTGACACTTAAAATATGCGACATTATTTGAAAACATTGGTGAAATTCAAGAAAAAGTTTTCTCTGAGGTTGAGGGTTTTGTTTCTGCTTCAGTTCTTGCTGTACATCGTTAGGGTTCCACCAAAATTAGTGTTGGACCTTTGCTGGCTTGTATACTCAAACACTTCTGGTTTAGATAAAAAAAGCATCTGACAGAGCCCCCAACAATACTAGCTCTGAACTTGAGCAAATAAGAGAATGTGGGGTATGTAGTGTTTGCTCGTACATCTGGCAAAACTTTTGTGAAGCCCTTTTCCTAATTAGGCCTAGGCTTAAGAGCAGCCAAACAAAAATAGCGTCTTGGCTTAGGCTGGTAAGACGACTTGTAGCAGCGACTTCTTTAGCTGCATCCCCACGTGAACTTGCATGCTTTGGTAACAACTGGAGAGCTGTGAGTGAGAGTAACGTGACTGACAGCCTGGGTGAGTGCTGAAATAGTCTGAATGCAGCCCGATCTCATTGCAGTGGAAGAAACAGGAGAGTGGTGCTGCACTTGGTGCAGTGTGATGAAGGACTCTGTTTATAAGGCCTCAGTGTAATTCCTAAATGGTTCACAAATGTAATGTGTGCTCAATGAACAGTTGTTACCAGGAGTGTTATTTATTAGAATTGGAATCAATAAGGCGTGTGGAATGCAGATACGTGCTCAGTAATCATCACTCTTGTCTGTGGAGAATGCCATGAAGAATGAGGTGATGCACAAAAACATTTTTTACCCTATTTTAAATGATCAGCGTTGCAGAAGATACAGTTGCATGTCACCTGGTTGTTGAGAGGGAGATTGGAAATGGGTTATCTCTCCAAAGCAGATGTATGTTTATGCTCTTCTGTCTCTAACTGTGGGTGAGAAGAAACGCTGTGCAGCAAACAAAGCACAGCGAAGACATGTAGGTAAAAGCAATACCAGCTGAACAGTGAGAACACGCCCTGGCTGATGCACAGGTCAGAGTATCTGCTTTCCATCGTGATTGGAATAAGTACTCTTATTCTAAATTTAGTGACAGAAGCTTTGTATGTTTCGAGTCCTTCTGACAGCTGTTGAAGGCAGCTCTCTTAAGTAAGAGATAAGATATCCTTTGCTTTTTGTTACTTTTCTTTTTTGTTTGGAAGCTAACCTTTAATTAAAAGTAGCATGGCATGCTCTGAAGCTGCACTGGATACTAATTAACTCACTTGAGTGCTTCAAGCCATGCTGTCTCCTTAAGTTTCCTACTGTTTGCGCTAGATAAATAAAGCTTCAGCAAGGTGTTCATTCAACCTGCTGAATAGTGCATACAACCTTAATATTTCTGTTAGTACTAAACACCACAGTTCAGTACTATTATTGTATTTATTTCAATTCTTTTTTTTTTTTTTCCTTTTAGAACAGTGGAGAAGCAGCCCACTGCACTTTGAATGTGTACTTTGTGCAATACTGTATAGATTCTTGTGGGAAGATTTTTGATTGGAGTTAGAGAATAAAGTCTAATACTCACTAATTAAGCTGTCTAGCAGTCTGAGTGTTGTACGTTAGCTTGTGTTAGATAACAGAAGGTCTTCATGTGTGACTGGTTAATGGACAGGGCTGTACTATATCACTGTGGTTTGTTTACAAGTACTTAAATCCTCTTCTCAAACCTAAATACAATTGTTTTGTAATTTGAATTCTTTTTAATCCTGATGAATTTCCTGTATTGAAGGAAATGACTCGAATACGAGAAAGCTTTAAGTTGACCTAATAAATATTAAAAATCTCTAAATAGTTTTTATTGCCATATGTCATCCCTCAATCTTACGATATTTGCATATTTTCAAACAATATGTCTGTTCTTTAAGGCATGCTGGGTATGCTATATTAACATTATCCCTCTGTATCTTTATAGGATGTTCAGGTACAGAATTGGAAACTTTGTTCCACAGTAAGATTTTTTTCTGTGCCTGCTGGCTGAAGGAATTTATGCAGTTCTCTTCCAGAGGTGAAATAGGTTGTAAAGTCAGACTGCAATTTCATGTATTTTGTGTTAGAAGGGACTTCCATAGCTCCTGGTACTTACTACTAGAGCAACAATTTAATGTTCCTTACGGTAACTTTACACTGGATTTTGGCAGTGTCATTCTGACTTTTTTCCAGTTTGTGGTTAGTAGCACATCTGGCTGAGCCAATTACTGCCTACT